TTATGGTAACATTAAAAAATATAGATAGATAACGAACAACCTGATATAGATAGATAGATAGATAGATAGATAGATAGATAGATAGATAATGAACAGCCTGGGGTATATACAGGGTGAGATGGGTAAGTAGACGCCATTTTGTATTTTTAATTTCGCACATGCGCATTCTTTCTTTTTGATTTTGCGCCGGCACAGTATAGTGGGATTAATTGGGCACCGTTTATGAGAAAAAGAGCACCATGGCACAATTCAATCCACCAGAATTTGGAAACAGTATGATGTACTACTTGGCATTCGCACCGGAAGCAAAAATACAAACATTTCAGCGTGTTTTGGTGTCAATCTGATGTCAGTACAGAAGATTCGAAATGAGTTAGATGATCATGCTGTTTGGCGTGATCACTAGTAATGGCGAAATTATGCCTCCATTCATCTTCCACAGGATTTCTGACTCAATACAAAGACCAACATGGTCTTGAGGATGTAGTGCAGCCCTAAGTCAAGATGGTGGCTGCTGGAAGACCCTATGCCTGGCAACAGGACTCTGCACTATGCCACACATGCAAGAGAACCCAGTCATGACTGTCAAACAATCTCTGCGATCACATCACCCATTACATCTGGCCACCTAACTCGCCAGACTTGCAACCTCTTTGATTATTATGTTTAGGGTGCAGTTGAGCAAGCGACCAACAACACTGCTTGCAACACCAAAGCTGAACTGAAAGCCAGGATTATGGCTGCATTCAAGGACACTGCGCAGAAGAGTTGCAGAAAATTCCGAAGTCGTCTGGAGACGGTGATTGATTCCAATGACGATTATAGTGAAGAAATGTCCGCTTTAGCATTTCATAATTTTGTGTAATAGATCTGTTAAAATAAGATGTCAGTGTTATTTTGCGTAATTTAGACGACAACGTATCCATCGAACTCTGTATATATATATATATATATATATATATATATATATATATATATATATGAAGAAAAAATATACGGAAAAAAACAAACAAAAATCCTTATATACAATTATGCTGTTTTAATGTTAATATGTCAACGTCGGACGTTTTCGGTCTAATAAACCATCTTCAGGACATATTCATAAGTATAGCATTATCGATACAACATGACAAAGACGTATATATTTTCTTCATACTGTCGGATTTATATCCATATATTTACATATATATATATATATATATATATATATATATATATATATATATATATATATATATATATTAAATTGTTAACTCAAGTACTTTTGATCTCCTCGGTGAATTGCGAAGTGAGTTCCAGCGGTGAATTGCGAAGACAAATTTAATCTTTACGCTAGACAATCTTTAAGTTTGTCTTCGCAATTCAGCCCTGAGGATGATCTCGTAGGAGATCGAAAAGTTCTTAGGGTAAGAATAACTATGGCGCCTTACTTAATGAATTTCAGCTTAACATCAAGAAGCTAATTTTACAACTAGAAAGGATTATATAAAAAGTAGACATAATATATCTATATTATTTAATGAAACCTGCTTGAACGAAGATTAGCTGCCTAAATACACACACAAACGCGTGCGCTCACACACACACATATATATATGAAGAAATATACTCTTAAGGTGTGCTATATTTATGGGATAAAGTCCTCAGTATCAGAGATAGAGCCTGTGTAAATATAAAAGTGAACATTGAAGTCAACACTCAGAGGCGACAGGCTGTTTCATGCTAGACTCATGGCCTGACGATTGCGTCTAGTATGAAACAGCCTGTCGCCTTTAAGTGTTGATTTCAATGTTCACCTTTATATATATATATATATATATATATATATATATATATATATATATATATTAAAAAGGCTTAAACACTAATATTCCATGGTCATAATTTATTCCATTGGAATCGTAAAATATGCATATGTATGTATATTTTCCACTAATATTATCAATATTTTTTTCTAAAAATATACATGTATGGGTATTTATATATCATGCATATGTATGTATATTTTCCACTAATATTATCTATATATATATATATATATATATATATATATATATATATATATATATATATAATATATATATATATATATATATATATATAACACTGTATATATATATATATACAGTGTATATATATATATATATATATATATATATATATATATATATATATATATATATATACATACAGTGTTATGTAAGTGTACTCCTTTCTCGTTTGTCCGGATGATCAACAGATTTTATTTAAACTATATATTAATTTAGAAAAACCTTTATTATGTCAATTACAAACACTTTCAAAGATTTTTGTCAAGCTGGGATAAAAATATTCATTCAAAATTAAAAATTTAGATGTGCAAAAGTAAGTGAACCCTTTAATATTGGGTGACTGCTTCTTTTGTGGTCATGTTATATACCATACCCATGAACACTAAATCGGTATGTCGCAAATCCTTATAAATACGCTGGCGAGTATTGTATTTTGTTGATGTTATAAAGATTACCATTTCATTTGCAACCTCCCTCTTGGTTATTCCTCATTCGGTAACCTTTTCTAGGTTACGACAGGTTGCAATGTCAACCAGTCTTTTTCTATAATTTTAAGAAGTTTCTGGCAGTAGTGAATGCTTTTTTTTTTTTGACCATTCTTCTTGGCAAAACTCCCACAATTGCTCGATATTACTTGGGTTTCTTGCACGCATTACCTTCTTTCACTTGGATTACAGATTTTTCATTGGATTTAGATCATGACTTTGATCTGACAGTTCCAAGACTTGAAATTTCTTTTTTATGAACCCATTTTTTTTGTGGATTTCCTTTGACGTTTCATTTCAGATCATTGTCCTGTTGGAAATTTCAGCATCGACCTAAACGTAATTTTTGAACAGAGGACAACACATTTTCGTTCAAAATTGCTTGGTATCTTTCAGAGTCCATTGTGCCGTCAATGTGTACTATTTGACCTATTCCAGCTGCAGCAAACCACTATAAAATCATAATGCTGTTACTGACATACGTAATGGTTGGTTTCAAATTATTCTTTTCAGAAGTCGTATTAGGAGCTCTCCATATATACCACCTATTGTCCCCCCAAGCTCTAGTTTGGTTGTATCCGACCGTAAAACATTCTGCTAGAATGTTTCTAGATTATGAATATGCACTTTGGCCTAGTTGAGGTGAGCATGCTTGTGCTATTTCGTAAGCAGTAGATTCTGTCATGTAGATCGGCATTGTTCAGATTTCATCAAACTGTAGATGTATGCATATGGATTCCAGCATTGGCCAGTGATCGTTGGAGAACAGCAAAAGTCACAGCAGGATTTGCCTGGTCTTCCCAAACTAGATCTCTACATGAATAGATTGAAATAGCTCCTGAGAAAGAGATATCTATCTATCTATGGTGAGAGAAAGATTGGGGGAGAGACATGAAAGGATTGAAAAATAGGTAGGTAGATAGAGATAGATAAATAAATAGATATGAAGACATTGGGATAGATAAATAGATTGATATGAACAGACTGAGATAGATAGATAGATAGATAGATAGATAGATAGCAAATGAAGAGATCAGTAAGGATAGATGAAATTATTAGCATAGATAGATAGATAGATAGATAGATAGATAGATAGATAATTCTAAACAACTAGAAAGATAGATCCGGTCAATGGATAGACAGGGAGGTAGGTAGGTAGGGAGGTAGATCGATAAATATGAATAGACTGAGATAGATACATCGATAGAGATAAATATAGATAGACATGAACGTGCTGAAATAGAGATATAGATTGATAGCTGAAGAGATTAGTAAAGATAGATGAAGGTATTAGGATGGATAGATACGTAGATAGATCGATCTAAACAATTAACTAGAGAGATAGATCGGTACAATGGATAGGTAGGTAGGAAGGATGATATATATATATATATATATATATATATATATATATATATATATATATATATATATAGGGTGTCCATAAAGTTCAAAAGCAATTAAAAATTTATAACTTTATTTGTATTTGCGATAGAAATATGTAAAAATGTTATAAAGTTTAATGTACCTAGTTTTAAGTATAGCTAAAATAACTAATGTGATTTCAAGCATTACTGTAAATCAGTTGGCAAATGTTTTCCGTGAACTGCAAAATCGTATTACCCTTTGTATTGCTAATGATGGAGGACATGTGGAAACTTAAATAAAATTTCAATAACACCTTAAAATATAGATTTACTTCTTTCTAATTCTTTTTAAAAATTTTTCTATCGCAAATACAAATAAAGTTATCATTTTTAAAGTGCACACGAACTTTATGGACACCTGTATATATATATATATATATATATATATATATATATATATATATATATATATATATATATATATATATATAGATAGATAGATAGATAGATAGATAGATAGATATATATGTACAGATATAGATAGACAGATAGATATATAGATAGAAATGGACGTACTGAAAGAGCTGGATTGATACATGAAGACATTAACAAAGATAGATGAAGATATTAGACAGATAGAGAGATAAATCTAAAAAAAATAACTTGATAAATAGATCCGGACAATGAATAGATAGATAGATAGATAGATAGATAGATAGATAGATAGATAGATAGATAGGTTGGAATATACAGAGATAGATAGATAGATAGTTATGAATAGACTGAGATATATATATATATATATATATATATATATATATATATATATATATATATATATAAACCTACTGAAGTAGATAGGTTGACAGATGAAGAGACTAGTAAAATAGGTGAATGTATTAGGATGGAGAAATATGGACTTAGATAGATAGGTAGATAGATATGAATAGAGGAAGATAGATATATAGATATGAACGTACTGAAAATATACATTGATAAAGGATAAGTAAATATAGATGAAGGTATTAGGATTGATAGACATGGATAGACTGAGGTAAATAGAAAGATTGATCGATCGATTGATAGATCGATAGATATAAATAGACTGTGGTAGATCGATAGACATGAACGTGCTGAAATATATCGATAGATTGATACCTGAAGAGATTAGTGAAGATAGATGAAGCCATTTTAGTATAGATAGATAGATAGATGGGAATAGACTGAGATAGATAGATATGAATGGATTGAGAGAAAGAGAGAGAGAGAGAGAGAAAGAGAGATAGATTGATTGACAGAGAGAGAGAGAGAGATAGATAGATTGAGAGAGATATGAACAGAGATAAAGATAGATTGACAGATATGAACAGACTGAGATAGATAGATAAACAGATATGAACAGACTGAAGATAGATAGATTGACAGATGAACAGACTGCAATAGATAGATAGATAGATATGAACAGACTGTGATAAATAGATTGACAGATATGAACAGCTAGATAGATAGATTGACATAGATATGAACAGACTGTGATAGATAGATTGACAGATATGAATAGACTGAGATAGATAGGTTGATAGACATATGAACTGAATGAAAGATAGATAAATGGATAGACCTCAAAATCTCCAAACACCCAATTAGTGACCTTGCTGCTGGATGTAGTTGAATCAAACTCAGAACTATGGAACTGTACAGAACTTATAGAAACATTGTAAAATATTTCCCTTTGTTGCAATCTGCCATTAGATTGACGTTATCTCTTGGTAAGCAAATAAATCCAATTTGACCCAATTTTGTCCATTTTGAGTCATGGAAAAAAGGGATTAAATTCTGAACTGAAACATGAGATGCAACAGATATTCAGGACAATTTTTGAAGAACTATCTTGCATTTTATAGGCACAGCATTGTGTAAGTCAATACAAATAGATTTTGATGACACCTTGTAGTACAATAGCCATAAAAAAAAAAAATGGAAAACAAGTAACTCTTACCTGGGATAGATGGATTTGGCACCTGACTAAATTCAAGGCACGAAGAGAAATTAAAAAGATAGATGAAGAATTTTCGATAAGCTTCAGAAAGAGCCTGAAAGAAAAAAAAGTTCATTGTGAAAAAAAATGATAGGCCATTAATGTGTGATTTTATTGATTCATTCATTTTCTATGGCTTATCAACAACCAAAAATTATAAATGGATATAAAGTGGGGGATAGATTCTACATTACAATCAATATATAAACTGATCCCTCACCTTTTTTGGCCATTGCCATTTCTATACGATTATATTCTGGAGAATGTAAATAAATCTAAAAGGCATGCCTGTGTAGCTAATCAGTATTTCATTAATTGATTCGTTTTGACGACTTATCAACAACCAAGAAATTATGTGGACATAAAGTGGGGAATCAATTTTATATTACAATCAAATATGAACTGATCCTCACTAGATAGATAGTTAATTAGATAGTTTATATTCCAGAGAATGTAAATAAATCTGAAAGACAGATAGCTAATCAATATTTGATTGATTGATGATGATTAGTTTTAAACAGCTTATCAACAACCATGAAATTATAGGTGGATATAAAGTGGGGGATCAGTTCTAAATTAGAATTAATATACAAAATGATCCCTCAATTTGTGATAGGTAGTTTTATATATTTATATTCCAGAGAATGTAAATAAATCTAAAATAGATGTCTGTGAAGCTAATCCATTATTCTACTGTGCTTCATATTTAAATATTTTGAGATTGTAAGACTTTTTTTGAGATAATAATGATTTAGTATTAAACATCTTATAATTAACCCATAGCTGGGGGGATAAATAGGTGATTAGACCTTTCCCAATGGTATTTGCATGTAAGTGAATAAAACATATGAAAACTGAAATTGAAATTCAGCTCTAGATTAACAATTCAAGCCATTATCCATGAGCTGACAAAATTTTTATGACAACTGACAGCAAAAATGTTAAATATTTATTAAATAGTTTATTTACAAGTAAAATATTTTATATTTACAAGATTAAAAATATATGAATCAACTACTGTTGAATATTTATATATACCATATTATGAAATAACTAGAAAAAAAATTTTATTCAAAATTTACAAAAATGCCTGAACTATAGAACAAAAATTTAAATAAAAATAATTGCCTGTTTTACGATGAACATACAATAATAGCTATTTTGACCCCCAATTAAATTTCAACTACTTTTGTTTTAATGCCTTCCACACAAGGTTTTTTTTAGAATTATTTTATGTTGTATAAAGGAGGAAGAACAATGAACAAATTAGAAGAAAGTTAAAAATCTAAACAGTGACAATGAAGATATTAGTCTGAATAATTCATGGCATATTTTTTAGATAATGAAGAAGTCTTAAAGAATACATCTGCCAAAATGCAGTGATAAAAGCAACAATGATGAGGATATTAGTCTGAAGAAGCCATAGAATAATGAAAATGATTCATGTCAGAATTTCAGACAATGAGGAAGGCCAAAGAATGCATCTGCCAAAATGTAATGATAAAACCAACAAGGATGAGGATATTAATCTATCTATTGCATGGAATAGAAATTTCTATGCTTATACATGACACCAACAAAATTTTTGTATGCCATGTCATAGTATAAGATAGAAATGATTGATAGAACGAGGCCAGAAAGTATTCAATGTGTCATTGTTTTGATATTCAACTCTTAACAATACAAAAATGACTGCTGATGTATTTATTAAGGTCGACTGAAATAATTTCTTTTTTGTGAAAATGTGACAACATTTATAAGCCAAAAAGGAGTGTAATATTGTGTTTGTAAATCAAACCCCAAGTTCTGCTTATTAAATATTCAAAAAGAACTTATTTAATCATTTACAATTTTACTTTTCTCTTTGATTCATTATTAATGTTTTTGTTTCTAATTCTTCCACAATCAGTAACCCTTTGTTTTTTAGTGACATTACTATTATTTTTTTATTCATGAATTTATGAAAAATGTCTGAACTATAGAACTAGAAAATTTAACTAAAAATAATTGCCCGTTTAACAATGAACACATATAACAATAGCTAGATAAAACGATGAACCATTTCAGCTGGTGTGTTTATATCTTCCACATGTGAGTATTTTTTTCAATAATTTTTTGTTGTATAAAGGAGGAAGAACAATGGACAAATCAGAAGAAATTTATTAATTTTAAAACAGTGACAATGAAGATATCAGTCTGAATAATTCATGGCATAAATTCAGATAATGAGGAAGGCCAAAGAATGCATCTGCCAAATTTTAATGATAAAAGCAACGAGGATGAGGATTATTAGTCCAAACAACACATGGAATAATGATAATAATGCATGTCAAAATTTCAGACAATGAGGAAGGCCAAAGAATGAATCTGCCAATGATAAAACCAACAAGGATGAGGATATTAGAAGAAGAAGCCATGGAATAAAAAAATGATTCATGTCAGAATTTCAGACAATGAGGAAAGCCAAAGAATGTGTCAGTCAAAATGTAGTGATAAAACCAACAAGGATGAGGATATTAATTTGTCTATTGCATGGAATAAGGAAATTTATATGCTTATACATGACGCCAACAAAAATTTTTGTGCCATGTCATAGTATAAGATAGAAATGATTGGATAGAACGAGGCCAGAAAGTATTCAATGTGTCATTGATTTGATATTCAACTCTTAACAACACAAAAATGACTGCTGATGTATTTATTAAGGTCGACTAAAATAATTTCTTTTTTTCTTTTTTGTAAAAACGCGATAACATTTTAAATGTGAAATGAGTGTAATACTGTGTCTGTAAAAAGTCAATGAATTAAAAATTAATTCCTAAGTTCAGTCTATTAAATATGCAAAAGAACTTATTTAATTCTTTAAGGATGTTGTAGTCCTCAAATATTACACACCATTTCTTACCTTGCTCCACAAATTAGTAGTGAAGAAGGCCAGAGAATGCATCAGCTGAAATGTTATGATAAAACCAATATGGATGAGAACTGATCGATTCATTCATTTTTTATGGCTTGTCATATTTTTTTGCAGGTTATTTATAGCCAGAAAATTCTTTTAGATTGGAGATAATAGTTTAGTGTTACAAGTCTTAATGTATTTAATGTTATAGAAGGGAGAAAAGATGGATTCAAACCATTTTCCAAGGTTATTTGCACCTAATGAACATAACGAACCCAATTGATATTAATAACAAAACTGATTAACAATTCCAAACCAAGTTTTGAAGCTTTTTTGTGCAAGGTCTAATAAATGATTTAAAACGAGAAATGTGAGTTCAGTTCAAATTTAAGTTAGAGTTACATTAAAAAATACCCTTGGGAAAGGTTTGATTTTACTTCTTCTCTCCCAGCAATGGGTTAAATTCCTTAAGTTTTATCAGAAAATCATTATGATCTCAAAAAATTTACAATCCATAAATATGTTTTGGTTTTAAATAATTAAAAAAGGATAAACCATAAGATATGATTGAACCATTGTATAAAATGAGTGAAACCATTTAAAAAAAGATAAGTTTGAAGATTTAATTAAAAATTTTTTGACAAGGGAAATAAGTGATTACTGTACCTTGAAACTAGCAATAAGGCACACATTTTTTTTTTTTTTAAAAATATCTTTTCGCTTTTTCGTTGCATCTTATATGCTATTGGAAAAGGTATGAATCTTCTTCTCCCCAGCTATGGATTAAATTGTAGGTGCTGTATCAGTTGTATCATTTTCATTAAAAATCCACAATTTGAAAACCCAGACAATATTGAGAGATGCATATAAAATTTTAAATTCATGATAGTCGGCTAAAATTAGCTACCTGGCAACTTCTATTAGCTTAGACTTAAAAGGAACAATGGAACACATGGATGGCAATGCTTGATCACAACCTTACACTTACAGGAAGAATAAAAAGACCCAGCATTGCACAAGTCTATGAATGGGTTAAGGAAGCTTGGGATAATATTAGACCAGAAACTGTTGTGAACTCTTTTAAAAAGTGTGGCATTAGCAATGCTCTCAATGGAACAGAAAATGATACATTATTTAATGATGATGATAGTAGAATTGAAAATAAGTATCAGAGTTTTGATAACAAAAACAATAAATTTTATGGATTTGAAGATGAATCAAATTTTAATGGTAACTTTACTGTTTTGCTTAATTGTAATAATTGCTTGATTTTTATTTTGTTTTCTTACCTTTGGATATAATAAAAGTTTTATAGGCCCATGTTCTTTTTTCTTTTATTATTTTTCGTTTAATTGTAATCATGACTTGTTTAACCAAAATAATACCTCATAAATATAACCTATGCTGTACCATTTACTAATATTTTACTAATTTTACTAACTACTAATTTTTTCTTGATTTGCCCTGCTGAAATTGGGGTGCCGGGATTGAACTCACAATTACTATGCCACCAAATTCACAAAACCAGCAACAATAGATTCAAGTATCCTATTGCTAAAATGCTGACTATGAATAAATTCTGGCGAGCTCAACGTGCCCGTACGGCTGGGAGTTTGAGCGCTGCAAGATCCGAGAAAATATTGAAACTTCACTAATCACAGGGGAATTTTGAGGCTATATGAAATTGGGTACTGGAGCATATTCCAAGGCCAATGGTAGCGAACTTAGCCCATTGGTTTATAATTCTATCACTAAAATGACCATCGGATAATTTATTGTTAAAACATAGATTTCGGAAAGCTTTTGCAATCCTTGACCACTTTTTAGAACTAAATGAAACAGTGACTAAGCTACATTGTATACGTTAAAAGCGTGAGAATTCATTAAGAAAGAAAGAAATGCCATTTCCAAATCAAAGTAAAAAAATACTCCTAGTTTTTCGTATTTTTCGTTGAAGTCACGAAATAGACTTCGACCAACCTGAAATAAAATTGACCAACAAACACAAATTCAATCAAAGTCGGATAGCTGAACAAAGCAAGTACCGAAAATATTTGTAATAGAATTTCTGCGGCACAGCTTCACCCAGCACGGATATCCCAACTTCAACGAAAAATACGAAAAACTAGAAATATCTTCTTTTTACTCTGGTTTGGATATGACATTTCTTTCTTACATTAAGCAATTGTCACGCTTTTAGCTTACGTATGTCTCGCAAACTCAATGTAATCTATTTTTTTCGGTGAACTTGAATTTATAATGTATACAATATAGCTTAGTCAGTGTTTCATTTATTTCTCAAGTGATCAAGGATTGCAAAAACTTCTCGAAATATATGTTTTAACAATAAATTATTCGGTAGAATTACGAAATTTTGTTCTTTTTAAAATCTGTTTTGTTTGAAAAATTCACGCATTAAAAAAAGTTGCCTCAAAGAACCCCCGCCTCGGATTAGGGTCTCTGAAGCGTAAGTTTCATAATAGATACACCAATTGGTGTAAGTTTCGTATTTTCTCCGCTGTTCATAGTTCGTCATCTGTTTTTAGCATGAAATTAAACTTGTCTGTAATGTTCTTGGCTTGTAGTTTTAATTTGGTATTTTAAGCCAAAACAATAGAGAATTAAAGAAATTCGCTTTGGTTTCATTTTGCGTTCTAGGTTTTGATCAACCATCGGAAATTCTGCGCTGTTGAGACAAGACAACTCTCTCTCCTCTCAACGAGGAAAGCTGCAAGAATATAAATAAAAGAACACATTTTCTTTTATTTATTTGACCGCCTTTTCTTAATGAAGAGTTGTGCACGGCAGACGACAGCTAACTATCAGCTGCCATGCTATTACTAACATCCATATCGTTTGAAACGCTTTCATTTCCGCCAGAGCGTTTCATTAGCGACAAGCTGTACTCGTTGTCTTTTTTCAACTCGTTGAATGTACGCATGCGCTCTGTCGAGTCGGTATCATTGGTCCGTTGTTGCGCATGGTTGCAGTAGTAGAAGCGTTTGATGAACTCATTTCGAAACGTGATGCCGCAGACGAGATAAAGTAAACAGTTAATGGCGGCGCTGATGTAATAGAGCAACAAGAATATATTGTTGATTAAATAAGCGGATGGGGTGATCATATCTGCCAGATTTCGCCCCGTTATCAGCGACGGCAAGATTGCTTGGATTCTGAACACGTGCAGCGGAAGGTTAAGGACGAGAAACACGAGGGACACAGCAAGCAGCATCCGGGTGACTTTGCTCTGAAGGTCGGAACGTTTCTTGTCGCCGCGACCGCGTCGGTTGTTCTGGGTAGCCGGCGTCGTCGACGAGCGTCTTTTGGACAGCTGGAAGGAGTTGTAGAAGATGGAGATCACCATGAAGACCATCAGAATTGAAGGGAGCAAAAAAGTCACGAATGTGTCTACGTAGGTCATGATAGAGAGCAAGTGGGAGTAGGCGCTGTTGTTGTGACACTTAACGACGTTGTTGTGCAAACTGGACTGCGTCGTCCAAATGGCGAAATTGTAGAGCACACAACTGATGAGGGCCAGCACGATGATTACTTTCTTCGCCTTCTCTACTGTGCAGAAACGTGTCGCACGAAACGGGTGACAGATTCTGACATAATTCTCTGACGTCACCGCCACGACCAGCCAGACAGAGAGAAAGGCGAATATGTACGAGAGCAGGGTTACGAGTCGACACAGCGTATCCGAATTCACCAGGAAGATATCAAATCTCTCCAGCCAGTAGAGGAAAACGAGAAGCAAAAGTCCCGAATCCATGACTGTACGACTAGCCAGATAAAGATTGCATGACGTCTTGCGCAGCTTAAGGGACATAAATGTGATGAAAGCGAGGCAGTTTCCGGTCAGGCCGACCAGAGATATGGCCGGATATGCATAGATATTGATTCTGACGATAATAGTTCGATAGAAAATGAACATGGGGTCGTAGGTGGTGTTTTGCAAGGAGCCGTTTGACGAATCAAGTGCAACTGCCTCGTTCATCCCGGATGTGATGTCATCGTATCTGAATGTCACGTTATTCATCCTCGTTCCCAGAAGATGTCTTCTCCCTGAAAAACAGAAGAAAGAAAAAAGAATGAATTAGAAAAGGTATTTAGTAAACTATGTGCTGAATTACTTAGTAATATCTAATTTCTTATACAGCAGTTAATGCTGGACAATATCCTCCTGGATGAAGAGCAGGCTCCAATTGATAGAGGTGTGGTTCTACAGAAGGATGCTGAGAATACCATGGACGTAATATATGAGCAAGAAAAAATGTCTTAAGGAAAGTAAGGACAAGAAAATGAGAATTACAATCAAAAAGAGATAGTGGACATTTTAATAAAGAAAGAACCCTTAGAGAAATTAACACCAAGGTGTTACAATTTTTTAGGAATACACAATACACACAGGCAGAACGATCAAAACTAACCGCCCAAACATTGTTATTAGAGATCATACACAAAAAAAGTGCCTCCTTATTAATATGGCAGTCCCTGCGGACTTCAATGTATCTTTGAATACTTTCAAAAAGCTGTATTTACATTAGTCGGACTATTGTCCTCATCTTTGTCGCCATATTTGTCACAACGTTTCGGCCGTTGTACGCTCCGGCCTTCTTCAGGTGGTAGGAATTTCGAACCGAACCCTTTATTTCGATCACTGGGGTAGACTGTTCTAGTTCCACGTGCCATGTTTGATGGATGTCAGTTATCAGTTATCTCCTGCTAATTTTCCCTCTGAAAGTTCTCCACTGCCTTAACCAGGAATTGAACTCACCTTCTTTGGGTCTATCACTGGATCTAACCAACGCCTTTATCCACTGTGCCATGTGTCTTGACACATGGCACAGTGGATAAAAAAAAATTGTTCTCAGAGTACAGCCCACACCTTACGAAGGGCTTTTTCTATGTAAAATATTTTTGTGTATTTTTTAATCAAAGGAAATCAAAGGAAATAATAATAATAATAATAATAATAATAATAATTTGGTTTTGAAAATAACTTTTTTTTTTTTTTTGATAAATTTCACCCTAAGCAAGGCAGTAAAGCCACAGAGACGCGATGTGTTACTGGGTGGGAAAGAGTTAGAAACAGGAACGTTGCTAAGGATCAAGAACAGAGGAAGTGTAATCAGGAGGAAAGCAGACAGCGATTGACATTGCATTTAAAATTTTGCAGATTAAAGTTGGATGAAAAGCACTGAGCCGAAAGAGAGTTCTACAAGCAAGAAGTGTGAGAAAAGATAGAATTTACGGTTAGATCAAGCCAGCTCGACTGTAAATTGGCGAGACTTAGTCGCCAGTCTAGTACTGCGCTTAAATTCGAAGAGTCGAGGCACCATAGTGGAGAGCCCATGAACAATTTCCATGAAAATATTAGAAAGGGCAAAGGGAGGTAACTTTACGGCGGTGGGAGAGTGCTTAGATTTGTATATGAAATAAGTGCTTGAGTAAAGTTCTGTCAGACGTAAGAATACTTTTGATACTAAAAGTCTAATCAAAACCCAATTATCTCATGATCTAGCAGCTTGTTGGGATAATAGAAGAAGAAATGCGTGGCATTTTGAGGGTCAATGAGGCTAAGTTGGCGCTTCACCTCTCGTGTCCGAGTAACATGCAATCCTGTATACTTTCATTTATGATATCAGGTAGTAATCCTACCTTTTCCGATGGCATTAGTGTAATGTAAATGTAAACTACCTCAACCAGAGATTGAACACTGCTCATTAATTTCTATTACCAGGTAGACGAATACTGTATCAAAAAACATTTTCGTAGGTGTAAAATGCCTCTGTATCCTATAAACAGTCTTATGGCAAAGCAGATGCCCAAATATGCTTACAGATTGAGAAATTAATCAAAATCCTCGAAAAAGAAACTCTTCAAGACCAAGATTGGAAGTTTGTTCATCGTTTGAGATGAGTTTTCATTACTCAGTTAAATGGGATTTTCGTTAACCTATGTGTGGCTACGGTGAAGTGTCTGGGAAGCCGTCCTCTTCTTGAGAACAAATTAGTCTCTGTACCTAGCATTGAAATGATTCAAAATAACTGCAGATGATAGTAAACAACGTCATAGACAAGTTTAGAGTGGAGCGTGATGATAAGGATTCAGTTTTAAAAAAAGCTGCGATCGTTCAGATGTCAAAAAAAAAACCACATATGAGATAACGATATATATATATATATATATATATATATATATATATATATATATATATATATATATATATATATATATATATATATATATATATATATATATATTATATACGAAGGAAGGACAATTTTAGGGAATATGTATGGCAAAGTGGAAAAAAGTTTTTGTGTGACGCGTTTCGATTTTTACGACTTCATCGGAATTGGTTTGTTTATGTTGGCGCGAGTGAACACGCGCACAGACTAGAGGTTCTGGGAATTCTAATTTCTAATTATTTTCCTTTCTTTTTAAATTTTACACACACACGTGCACACTAACACACACACACACACACACACGCATCTAATTTCTAATTATTTTCCTTCCTTTTTAAATTTTACACACACACGTACACACGTACACACACACACACACACACACACGCATCTAATTTCTAATTATTTTCCTTCCTTTTAAATTTTACACACACACGTACACACGTACACACGTACACACACACACACACACACATATATATATATGTATATATATATATGAATATAAAAGTGAACATGGAAGTCAACACTCAGAGGCGACAGGCCGTTTCATGCTAGACGCAATCCACAGGCGGCTTGACAATTGCGTCTTGCCTGAAACAGCTTGTCGTCTCTGAGTGTCGACTTCAATGTTAACTTTTATATTTACATACGCTCTATCTCTGATATTGAGCACTTTATACCATAAATATAGCACACCTTAAATCTATCTATCTATCTATCTATCTATCTATCTATCTATCTGCGTGTTACTTATAGTCATAGAGCTAACATATTCAGTTGTATGAATATGAATTTGTGACCCTGGGATTCACGCTTTTGCGATCATCAGAACAATTATATTAAGTCATGGAAAACGGGACAGACTCACGTTTGAGAGAGCCGGCACGAAACTTGACCAGCGTTTATTAGATACCGGAAGAAAGAGCTTGAGAATGGGATTATGGAGAAAAGGGACCTATCAGGGATCGAGAATCATGTTCCTTAACGTCGATTAGGGACCATACATTAAACGGTAATGCAAAGGGAGTATATATTAAACAATAATGTAACACACGCGTTTCGTCATTTGAGGGACTTTGTCAAAGCAAATTTCTTCATAAACCTTACACACACACACAGACACACACACTTCTATTTGTATGTATAATTAATAATTGATTTATATTCAAATGCTCTGGCATTTTTTTGGCAAAGAGTACTTTTATTTCAGAAGGCTAATTTTGGGAGATTCTATTTAGAGCTGCTTATTTAAACATTAGAATATATATATATATATATATATATATATATATATATATATATGTGTGTGTGTGTAATTCATCGAAAGAAACCTCAACAGAATGCAGAAAAGCAATGGACGGCCGTTTCGTCCTATATTTGGGACTCATCAGCAGTGCGCATCCACTACCGAGAATTGAAACCCTGACAGTTAGGTTGTCAAGCAAACATCATACCTATCGAAGTGCAGTTGAAATGCACTGAAACCAAGTTGCATCTTTGTAGTGAGTAAAAATGGTTTTGTCTATATGATAAAATTATAATATATATATATATATATATATATATATATATATATATATATATATATATATATATATATATGTATGTGTGTGTGTGACCTAAAAGTGTGAAATAACTACAAATTAGAATTCTCAGCCCCTCTCCTTCGTGCGCATGTGCAACCGAACCAACATAAACAAATTCTGTCCGATAAAGGCCTAAAGGACGAAACACTTCACATGGAGAGTTTTTTTTTTCTAATTTGTCATACATCTTTCCAACAGCCACATATGTAGATAATCTTTGATATGTACTGAATGAAAGAACGCTTTTTATCCTTGTGGAGTTATTACTTTTTTGAACTAACTTATGAGGTCTCTACACGACCCTGTAGACTATAAAATCTCTGTTGTTTTCCTTGGTGAATATAGTTGTTGGTTTCAATCAATAGGAATAACTGCAAAAAACTCCCCCTTCCCCAATCTATAGACAATACACACAAATGGATAGTAACATTTCTTTCTAGCCAGTGAAATAGGCCACTTCTTGGTTTCATCTGACACAGTTTTGTTCTTTCTTGTCTTGTAGACCTAACGCTGCGGTCGCTTGTTTGTATCCCCTCTTGTTTTTTAACAGCATTTCTAGTTTGTGAAACTTTTTTGCTTTATTACTGTTGCTTTGTCTTATTGTTGTTCTTTTGCCTTATATATATATCATTTGATCAGTATTATTTTTGCCCTGTTCTTTTTTTCTCCTGATAATGTTTATTGTGAAATTTGTCAAATCTGTTTATTGGGCATTTCTGCCAATTACGTCTATTTAGCCAAGGCCAATTACTCTACAAGCACTCACTGCCATACAGGAGGACTGATATTACATAGCAACTGAGCACTCTTTTGTTTGTTTCGAATGAATTCTACTAACACAAGCGCGTCATGTAGGTTAATCTCTACTCTTCTTTTTCTCAATATGTCATGTTAGTGTCAGATTCACCAAGCCTCTTTTCCTCATTATGTATTCCAGAAATTATAACTGTCTCTTTCGGGCTTTAAGTAGACTTTTTCTTTTCCCTTTCCTTAAAACTGCCTCAATGTTAACATTTTCCGTCTATGGCATTCTCACCATCCTTCTGTAAAACCACATTTCTGTTGACACAAAGTTTCCTCTTCATCTGTGAGGAAATTCTCTAGTATCCCCTGTAATTTTTTGTTTGTCATTACTGCTAATTACATTTAGCCATGGCGATATTTTCATTTTTTCTTGACACAAGGGCAGCAATAAAAGTGTATTGTGTAAAAGGACAAAATACTAAAATAGCAATGTTCATCGAGACTAGCTGCTA